ATACATACCAACTCCTCTCTTGTAGATGACACTTTTAACCTCCCCCCAAGTCTGTGCTTAGGATGGAATGCACTACAGATGAATGCAAAGGAGCAGCAATTTGAAAAAGTGATTCTAAGAGCCTGAATTGGACACTAGGTATGCCTTTGCATGAAACCTCTGTGGTAACAGAGGAGCCTGGAATGATGAAAGGAGTCTGTGCTCAATCATGCTCTACTGTGAATGGTCAATTTATAAATTCTAAATTTTACTAATTATAAATATAAACCCTTTAAAGATATTACGATATATATATACATACACACACACACACACAGAATCATGGTAAAATGCTAACATACATTTAACCATTTGCTAGATTGTCTTATAGTCTCTTAGTATTTATACCTATTATAAATGAATGTCTTCCCTAGGTCTCACAAATATTAGGGGCAGATCTCTTTCATTAACCTACTTTATAAATTATTAAAATATCATTATATGGCTGAAGAAAGCATAGAAGTAAAATCAGAAATGAGAAAGATTATTTTCGAATATCAACAACCGGTTAACTATTTTATTAAAATAACAAGTTTACACCTTAAATCTTAAAACTATAATTTCTGTCTTTATATCACACCAATATGAAAACAAATTGTTACTGATGGATTAAATGTCCTAATAAAATCTCAAATATTATTTTTAAATTTGAAACTATTACTCTGTTAGTATCAAACTGTTTCATAGAACCTAAAGGAAAGTCAACACATATCTTTCTAAAAAAAACAGTTAAGATAGTCTTAAGTTCCATTTATCCTGTAAGGATGTTTCTCATACTTAACATTACAAAGATAATTCTCGGTGAAACACTTAAATGTATGTCCACATGTAACTAATCACCCTATTCTTCTCTAGTTCTCATAATCTCAAGTTTAGGATTAGTTACACAGAGAACCATCGATCACTACATACTGCTCTTGAAGACATCAGTCTAGAGCAGGGCAATGAACAAACTCTCAACATGATGGACATTACCCTGAAAGTTACTGAAAACCAAACTGCAAGCAATGCTGACGACAGTATGTGCAAAACCACAGCCTGTCATTCAGACCACTTTCCCTCATGGGAGATACAACACAAGAGGAGGGTTTCTACTTTATTGATATCAAGTCTTATGTCTTGTAAGCGTCATGGAAAAAAAAAACTATTTCAGTCAGTTAAAGTAGGAAAATGCCCTGAAGCATAGACAGTAGCTGGCTTATCATTCCAGAGTTCTGCAGAGCTTTTCCCTCCTGTTAAAGATGGCTAATGCTGTGACATTCTTTGATTCTAGGAGCTACTCAATGAAATCCAAGATTTAGCTCTAAATATAATGAATTACACATCACTGAACAAAGGACAAAATTCTATGACAAAGTAATTAATAGAAAATGTCACAACGCAGTCGCCTCATTTTCAGAGTCTGGGTCCACACTGGTAACACCAGCATCGCTGACATAATAAACATTCTTATTCTTAGCAAATACTTTGAATGAACACATTTCCAAAGTAAGTCTCCCCTAATAAAAATCTATATTCCGAGCCAGGCGGTGGTGGTGCACGCCTTTGATCCCAGCACTAGGGAAGCAGAGACAAGCAGATCTCTGTGAGTTCGAGGTAAGTCTGTTTTACAAAGCGAGTTCCAGAACAGGCTCCAAAGCTACAGAGAAACACTGTTTTGGAAAACAAAACAAAACAAAAAAAATCAAAATCCAAACAAACAAAAAAAATCTGTATTCCATATGAAAGCAGTAAGAGCGAAAATGTCATTAAAGTATATAAGCTGATTTCTACTTCCTGAGACAATTGGGCACCAGGGGGAAGACAAAACATAGAAGTATTTTTCAAGATACTGGACAACAAAAACCATGATCCTTGATAGACGGGTACCAAGCCTGAACCCAATAACAGTCGCATCTTACTGCCTAGAAGATCTCTAGTCCGTGAACAGGGAGGAGGAAACCTAGGTAGTACATTATCTGAGTAGAGGGAATGAAGTCTGGAGATAATGCAGCTAAATACTCATGAAGAATATCACAGAGAAGAGAGCTAAACAAGAAAAAGATTGCAGAGAATATCCCTACAGACTTCTGAGCTGTCAGTACCTCTAAGTGTGAAGAAACTATGCAAAGTCACTGAAAGAACCAAAAAATTATTTTAGGTAACAACACAGTTACTGTTCCCACCAATTACTGTACTTGTAAGAGTTTTGACTCAGTAGTACAAAAAGGTACTGCTTAACAAACTTACTGCCACTATGGATGTGTTCACTTTTGATTCTAGTACTTGGGAGGCAGAGGCAGGCAGATCTCTGTAAGACCAGTCTGGTCTATTCAGTAAGTTCTAGGAAAGTCAGGGCTACATAAAAAGACCCTGTCCCAAAATAATCAATTAATTAATTAAATGCAAATTCTGAAAAGATAAAACTGTTTCTGAGTAACGTAAATACATCCCAGAATAAAGCTCAAAATATCGATATTTTGTGGAATAATAAAATATCCAATATCCAACAAGATCATCAAATAAAAATCACCAGGATACAAAGGCAAAGAAACATAATTCATACTGAGGAGAAAACTCAATCAAAACCAACTAAATGAAATGATACAATTAGTATATATGGGCAATAAGACAATTATAACTATATCCCATGTTTAAGAATCTAAAGAGATAAAACAGAAAAACTTGGACATGGAAGGTATAATGGCAAGTTTTCTACAGAGCAAACTATGTCTAAAATGAAATACATGCTGGGTAGGAGTAAACATAATAGAAAATATTCACAGATACCACAGCAGACTAGTCAAAATCAAAGAAAAAACAACAACAAAAACACATCCATGAACCTCTCAATAAGCTTTAAAACACATCTAGGAACTTAATATACATGTGACTGGGCTACCAAAAGGAGGAAAGACAAATAAGTTCAGGTACACGTACACACACACACACACACACACACACACACACACACACTATATTTAAAGAAACAATGCCTTCATTTTTTTCCAAATTTGATAAAAATGAAACCCACAGATCCAAGCTCAATAAACTTCAAGTATAAGGAACACAAAGAAAAATACACCATTTCATTTACAAAGGATTCTTGCTCACAAATTCTAAAACTAAATGTAATCTAGAAATGTTTTTAATTAAGGTTCATCTTTAGGTTAACTATCCTTTCATGACAGAGAGTTTCAAATGGCACTTTAATAGAGTTCATTAAGTCATGCAGCCAACTGAATAAACTATGCAGCACATTTTCTAACCATAGTTCATAAAAATAATGTATTGTGGTGAGACATGCGTTTAATCCCAGAAACTGTAAGGCAGAGGCAGGTGGCTCTCCAAGAGTTCCAGACCAGCCTGATCTATATAGCCAGGGAAAAACAAGACTCTGTACCTAAAAATAAACAAAATAGTAATTAGGTATTTTGTTGCTCTACGGCTTAAACATACTGTGTCGACCCAATTTTAATAAACTATTCTTTTAAGAAAGCAAAGAATAGTACTTTTCCTTTTATTTCCCTTATATAGGTCATTCAGAACAGAATTAGGACACTAAAAATCACTTAGAGAAACTGAGAGGTGGAACTGAAAACACAGAAGTTGACCTGAGGTTTAAAAAGCAGCTAGTCCCCTCCCAAGGCGCTAGGGAGAACCTGGCAGCTATTCTTTTGGAACATCACTATTTTCAAAATATATATTTTTAAATGAGTGTGAACTCAAAGTGAAAGCAGCTATTATGTTTTTAACTCTTCACCCAAGTACTAAGTTTAAAAAATAAAACAAAAATGTTAAACCTTTCTCATACAACTGACCACCTGCCCAGGGATGGCACTGCCAGCAGTGGGGTGGGCCATCCCACCTCAAGCAACCAAGAAAATGCCCCAGAGACTTGCCTACATGCGAAAATGACAGAGTAGTTTAAAATCTCAACTGAGGTCCCCCTTTTCCTGATGACCCTAGTGTCAAGATGACAAAAAACTAACCAGCACAAATCTAGAAAGAAAAATAATTTCCAGGAAAATACAGAACTGACAAGTGCAAAATTAATAGGGTATGAATTTAAATAACAAGTTTTTATACTGCATCAATTTTCACATATATAAGACAGAAATATCTTCAAATCAAAAGTTGCAAGATTACTGTTGTAATGAGACTCTATTAAGAAAGAAGTGTCCAAACCCAACTGTAATACCAGCAATGATAACCACTGAAGTACTTACAGTCACCTGTGCTACAATACCATAGCGATAAAATGGAGTCACTTTGACCTCTCTCATCTAGGTACTAACATGCTTCCAACACTCCATTTCTATCTCAAAAGCCACATTTCTTCTTAGCAGAAATTCAACATGTCAAACAAAAGACTTAATTAACCCAGCTCTCATGACTTCAGTTATTTACATAAACCTCAAAATACTAATTCCCCAAATACTAATTTAATAACTCATCAATAACACGGTAAGTCATCTGATCAAACTTAGATATTTAAATTGCTGGCTACAGAAGTCTTCTTGACCAATCAGCAATGTTAACTGAATTTTTCACCGCTGAAATGTTACTTCACCAGTTTCAATTTTTGAATCATTTATTCTTAGATTTAAAGGGTTAATAAGAACACACCTTTGCACATAACTTCACAGTTAAGTCTTTTTCTTTCGTAGACAAGATTTCTCTGTATTCGTCATTTTACCAAATTACCAAAGATATCACAATGTGGTTTGAATTTCAGCACTTCAGGCAATAAATGACAATACAGACAGGACTGGCAGAGTCAAAGATTCAGTTTCTCAATTTCAGGAGGTATAACTACTTGGTTAATAAGCAAGAAGGGCACTCCTTCCAAGATCCAATTAAACCACCTGATTTTTTTTTCTGGCCAAAAAACCAAATTAAGGGTTTATGACGTGAAATCTAAGTTCAAAGTATGTTATTTTTTCACAGAAAATAAGTTAGCGAGAGAAGAAAACACTTACATTTGGAGAATGACCTGGTTCAAGAATACCCCATCCACCAAAGCCACATATTCATCCAGGTTGGTCCCATTTCCTGCAGCCAGAGGTCCAAAGTTTTAACCTAGAACACAAGGATTATCACAGCGCTAACGCCCACCTCCATCTCTGCAGCCGCAAATAACACAGCAAAATACACAATAAAGGACATCCTACTTACCCAAGTGACCAAGGGGCTGGTCATGAACTGCTCCAGAAGGGGAGTCAAGATTTCGTTCTCCATTTTACAGATTGTATATTCGGGCGGGGAGGAAAAAGGGAAGTACCACAAAAACGCCTAGGGAATTGGTCACTAAACGTAGAACTAAGACGAAATCAATGAAAGTCCATTTCAGCAAGGCAGGAAAATCCCATCGAAGAGGGGGAAGGACTCTCGCTCCTCAAAACCCCCCAGGGGAAACGAGCCCAAATCCCGCGCGGAGCCGCAGCCGGCGCTGGCAGTGTCTGCACCCGGAGAGGAGGGGCAGAAGAAAGGCATCTGGAGGAGGACGCGAAGAGCGGCCGGGGCACGAGACAAAAAGCCCGTCAAGGTGGCCCCGCTCCCGGAGGGAGCCGTTCAGCGCAGCGGCCGCCGATGAATCGCGAGCGCCGCGGAGGCTGCGGGGCGGCCGGGCTGGCCCTTGGCGAGCGGCTCTGGGCGTTTCAGCGGCCGGCGGGCACGGGCGCCGGGAGCGTCCGCCCGCAGCGTGTCCTCGCCTTCTCAGGCGCGGCTCGCCCCTCGCAGGGCGCTCACCATCCCTCCGCGGGCTCGCGCTCGCCTCAGCCCCCTTGCCCTGCCCGGGACCGAAGGCTCCGCTGCGTGTCCCTGGCTGTCCTGCCGCGGGAGCCCCGCCAGCCTCCGGTGCCTCAGCGACGCCCGGGCGCTCCGCCGCCGCCGCCGCCGCCGCCGCCGCGCTCCAGCCTCCTCCGCCGCCCTCTGGAGGAGCTGGGGTAACGGCCTCAGAACCGCAGTGCCGCAGCACACCCGCGCCCGCCGCCGGTCGGGTGCGCGCCGCTCCCTCCGCGCCAATTCCCCGCCCTCCGCGCCTCTGCCTCTGGATTGTGGGAGAAGAAAACCGCTGCATGAGCGCGCCCCCGAGCGCGCGCCCCCGGCCGGCCCGCCGCCGCCCAGGTTCTGGCGGCGTGTTGGGGCGCGCGCGGGCGCGAGGGGGCTGCAGCTGTGGCGCTGGACCGCGTCGCGCCCGCGCCCCGGACGGTTGCCAGGGCCCAGGGGGCGGGGATGGGCTAGGCTGTGGAAGGGGGTCTGTCTGCTTGCTTTCTCGTGCCTAATTATGGTTTATTTCCTCCCGAAGTGCCTTCTTTGATGTGCGAAGGAAAGGGAACGAAACACATCTCTTTTAAACAGGATGGATGCAGACATCCTTTTTCGGACACTTTGATTTGCTCTGTTAAACATGCATTTTCGCCCGCGAAAAGGAGTAGGAAAACTGCAGCAAAAAGCAAAGGCATATCTTGAGCTACATATCACTCATAAGCCAACACTTTGTGATTCTTAGCTCTTTAGAAGGTCCTGGGATTCCCCATTGGGGTGTTTCCCCTTGTGGATTTCCTGTGTGCATCAGGCTCTGAACAGTGGATGGATTTCAAACCTTATCAGAGTTGCGCACTCTTTCCAATGTGCAGAGACAGCAGCCTGTCCTGTCCAGTGTGACTCTTGACCCGCGGCCTGCTGCATAGGCCACAGGAGCCAAAAAGGCCAAAAGTAAAACCTACAGCACCGATATTCCCAGGAGGTCTCCCATCAAAGTATTAACCAGGCCCAAACCAGTCTATCTTCTGAGATTAAAGGAGATTGGCCTCTTTCAGGGTGGTATGGTCACAGATGGAGGTAGCACTCGCTGCTGTGCCCAAAGAGCCTGTTTCTGCTGTGCTTGTCTGCACACCCATCTGCAAGTCCTCTTCACTCCTTTCAGCCACCTAGTCCCGACAAGCCCTCCCTGCCCAATGCCCTTGAACCTGGCTCAGTCACACCAGGCCAAGTCAGATGGCTGACCAGACCGCCATCAACCTACCTGCCAGCTGGGCCCTCCTCAGTCTTCAGCCACAGCCTGAAGCCAGAGTCCTGAGCCTTCTCTCCCTTCCATCTCCTTCCTCATCGAGCACCCTCATCGTGGCCCAACGTGCCCCTCATTCCTGCAAGTCATTTGTGTCCCCGATGGAGGAGGCATAGGGCTTGGCATGGGAGGATGGGTGCCTGTGTTGTGAATAGGGGTGGGGGTAGGAGTGTAGTGTTGTGGGATGGGGTGTGATGCTGAGTTTCAGGCCATGTCCGGGCTGCAATTTGGCTGCTCTATTTTCTTCCCTGATTGGATATGTCATGCTTTGTTGACACTCATTGAGTCTTGCTCCTTTATAAATGAGAGAGAGGAGTGGATTTGGGGGTGAAGAGGACATGGGGGAGGGAACTGGAGAAGAGGAATGGGGTAAATCACACTTGGGATATAAAATAAATGAAAAATTTAATTTAGAAAGATTTATTTTATCTATATCCATGTGATGTCAGTTTTTCTGCTTTTTGTCTTGTACATGTATATATGCATGCAGGTGTCTAGGCAAGCCAGAGAATTATAGTAGGTAGTCAGTCACTGCACTACAGTCTTACTAATGACCTTTATTAAACTGAAGTGCTGCTTATAGACCAGGCTGGCCTTAAACTTGGCTCTACCTTGGTGTAAGAGGTCCTCCTGTATTTGTATTACTTTCATTGGTTGAATTAAAAAACTGCGTTGGCCTTTTGATTGGGCAGCCCTTAGGTGAATGGAGTAGACAAAACAGAATGCTGGGAAGAAGGGAAGTGTGGCAGACACCATGCCTCTCCTGCCCGAGAGGGACACTGGTTAGACTCATGCTGGTAAGCCATAGTCAAGTGGCAATACATGTTAATGGAGATGGGTTAATCAAGAGGTGAGAGTAAGCCAATAAGAGGCTAGAGCTAATGGGCCAGGCAGTAATTTAATTAATACAATTTCTGTATGGTTATTTCAGGGGCTAAGCTAGCCCAGCGACAGGAAAGCAGGCTGCTCTTCCTACAACAGATTGGCACTAACATTGTCAACTAACTCCATGTAAAACCTAAGAGGGCTTTAAAAGGAATTCTAGACACAAATATACAGTTTAACACAGCCTTTTTCTGTTTGCTGGTGGGGTGCCATAGAGAAATTTTCCCAACTCAGCAATAGCAGCAGGAAAGAAGCTGCACCATTTTAAAACATGGCTTCCTGAGCTGTGCACTGGTACAAACGCAAAATATTAAGCACTTAAATGGCATTGGTGGGCTCGGATGTTTGTGTGCCCACTCGGGATCAAGAACAAAATACCTGAGACCATACTTTCAACTCAGCGCTCCCTGCCTGGGCAGGCTGCAGGATCAGGTTTACGAGGTGTGCACAAGCAGGCGAACATGGCAGATTTCTGCTGCCATACAGAGAGATGTTTCCAGGCTGTGCAGTGCTCTGCTTGGCAGATTTGGCTGTATGTGCTGCATGCTCATTCTCAGAGTTAAAGTGCTGAGTGCAGATTCTGCCTGGTGGCCCCAGAGCTAGCAGAAATGGTAGGTCCACCACTTTGAAATTGGAGAGAGATGGAGCCAACATCCACATCCAGAACAGCCGCAACTTAGCTGCTTAGCATTTTAAAAGCTCTTCAAGACAGTAGAGAATTAAAGACAATGCACTAGGACAGATTCAGACATAAAAGACCTCTACATGGGTCATAGTGTTAGATAAATTCATGGGTTTGGGAAGGAGAAGAGAAAGAGTATAGATAGTCATAAAATAAAGTTAATGCTTTAAAAAAAGGTAGTCTTTAAAGGGACAGAGTACAGTTAATGATAGATTAAAAGGATTTTAAAAAGCCATGTAAAAATGGAAAATTCACCGAGAATCTTGGTTCTGTGTATTATTGTGTTTTCTTTGATATTTTTGACTGTGAAAGAGCTAAGTACAGAGAGACATCTCACTATATGGGCTGCTAAGCTAAACCAGCATGTATATTATAAAGGTATCTTGACTTCCGAATTTATGTCTAAGGATATGATGCTTTGGAAAAGTGGTTCTTCTTTTGTTTTCATAGATGAGACCCTGTGTTTTCCTTCTAGACCAATATGGTATGATAGACCACGCCCTCCTGAAAATTTGCCATAAACACCCTCAAAAAATTACTTCATTGAGATGAACCTAGCACATAGGATACACCTTGAAAGACCTTATTAACAGTGCCCCCATTTAGCACAAAGCAGTTTGAAGAGAAGTAACTACACCCATATTCCCAAATATTGCTTATAAAGGTTCTTTTAAATTTAAAGGAGGATATGATATAGATATGAATAATTTCCATTGGTATGGATTTCGCATTATTGATATAAATTGAAGGTCAATCTTGTTATATATATTTCTGCTCTTGATTAAGGTATTGTGATTGTGTGGATCATTTAGAAATGTAACATATAATATAGGTTGTTAATGGATAATTATCGATAATAGTCATAATACCTAATAACTAACATGTAGTCATGTTAGTTAGATTTTCTAGAAGTGCAGAGATATATTTCAGATTGGGATTTCTCATATCTTTCAAAGACTACAGAATATGGCACTTAAAATATTTAAATAACTTAGGGCTTTTCTTGACAATGAGACATGTCTGCTCCTGGCAGCAACAATCTACTTCAAGATGAAAATGGGCATCAAAGAGACTTCTGATGGAGCTGGTTAGCCATTTGGGCAAAAAACTGCTCTTATCTGGTCTGTTGCATAAACTAGAAACAAAGAATCTTCAGAGTGAGGACTGCTGAACTTGCCTAAAGGTGAGATAATCCTTTGAGATTCCTGATTCATGAAAGAGTCTGTGAGAAATTCTGCAGGATACAAAAGAAAATGTGTGAACTGTCTTTAAAATTTCCTGCTTCATGGAAAAGTCTGCTGGATACTATGGGCCTGTAGGCTGAAGATGAATGCCCCTACGGTACAAAAGAACTTTGGGTGACTGTCCAGGAAGCGAGATGTCTCTGTCATTTCTAGAATTTCGGAAGTTGCTTACTTCTCATATACTTATGTAATATTGTATCCTTCTGGGGTCTTTGATGGAGTTAAAGAATAGATAGATAGTTAGAGTTAGAGTTTTCTTTTGTTATGATAAAAGATAAAATAGATCTAAATATTGTAACTGTAATTCTAGCATGATACCTGTTTTATTATATGAAATTTCACTATGTTAAAATGAAAGCCTTTCTTTTTTGTTTAAACAGAAAAAGGGGAAATGGTGTAGGAGGTCATTCTGTATTTGTATTGCTTTCATTGGTTGAATAAAGAAACTGCTTTGACCTAGTTGATAGGGTAGCCTATTGTGATCCAACTGCCCTCACTCCCCGTGACTGGCAGGGATGCTACAGTCAGCGCAGCCTGGATAGCCGAGACTGGCGGGGGGTGCCAGGATTGAGACACAGAGGCTTCTTTTCATGTGGAAGAATAGCAACCTTTATTTGCCCTGCAA